GCGAAAGCGGGGTAGAGGCGAGCGGGGCACGCCAGCTTCGAAAGGACTGCTCCTAGGTCGTCCGCGCAAACGCCGAGCGAGCCGTCGCGAGGGTCAGCAGGGGGCGCAAGCTCCAGCGGTCTGATGATGAGGTCCATGCCCGCTGCCCAGAGGGACCAACTGAGTGGGCACCCCTGCATCGCTGCCGCATTGATCAGCAGCAGCGGCGCGCGATTCATGATGGGGGCGCCGCCTTGATGTCGAATGCCACGAAAAGGGGCATCCGACAGTCACGTCCTCGTGAAATCCAACCGATCGGGCGCGAGGGTCGAGCTTGGCTGTGTTGTGACAGAAATAGCAGCATCTGGTGGACCCCATGTTGGGTTGCGTGCGCTCGCTCTTGCGCTACCTTCGTTCGCGCGAAATTGATTGCTGACGCCATTGCTGTGGCGTCGCAGCTTTCGAACGACAGCTGTCGCACATCTGACGCATCGCGGAGACATTCGAGCGCATCGCCGATCTTGCCGCCTTTCGGCAAGAAAATCAAAATCAAATGGTCGAGGGCGGGCGGGGCAGGAAGGCAGCTGAAGAGGCGAAGGAAGGTGGAGTAGAGACAGTCTCTAGTGGCTGGGGCCGCCAGCCAGGCCTGGTAAGAAAACCGATCTGGACCAGGCGCCGAGTTCCGTCGTCGTTTAAAAGCATGAGTGAGGGCACCCTTGGAGGGAATCGGCAAGTCAGCAACTGGGAGCGCACGCGAATCCTTGTCCATGAAATCGTGAATTTCAGCCCGTGAAACGCCCTTGTTCGAGAAATCGGGGACCAGTGGAGCTGGGGCGCACTGGCGACGTCTTCCGGCTGAATGGCCACCGGTGGGGGCACGGAACCTCCGCCGATGACATTCGGTTTCTGGGCAATCTGACTGGTCGCGAAACCGCGCAAGGCAAGACGCTTTGAAAATGGCGCCCAGAGCGCCACTCGACGCTGGAGGGCGCGCTGGACGCGGCGCTGCTCCCCGAGGGATGGCCGGTGCTGCGCGCGAGCCGCGCGAAGCGGAGCAAGGCGCCGGGGCCGCTCGCGCCGCGCGCGGTCGCTGTGTTCAACAGCACTTTGAAACTCAGCCGCGCCACGCAGCTCTGGGGGGGGGCCGACGCGTCAACGCATGATCGCCCAAGCTCTGCGGCAGCGGCATGTTGGCGAGCTGCGGCGAGGTCAGAGCGCCAGATGGCGCGCGTAATGGCACGGAGCGCGAGCCGCCTACCCTCCAGCACGTTGACGTCGCCCGAGCCCAGCGGGAGCTGCTGCAGCTCGTTGCGCGCATGCTCGGCCGCCAGGAGCATGATCTGTCTCGTGGCACCGAAGCGCAGCAGGTCGGTCATCGTGTCCAGTTCCGCCTCGTTCAGCATCTTGGTGAGTAGTGTATTGCAGTGCATGGAGCGGTAGATGCAGTCTGGGATGGGGCGCCGGTCTTTCACGGGCGGCTTGCGGTTCTCGATGGCGGCGTGATCGCTGGGCCTCCTGTCCGAGAACATCGCCGCGCACTGGGCGACATTGAGTTGGGAGTGATGACAGGGAGCGCAGGCGGGCGGGATGGCATTGAAGACGCCGTTAATCGCGGCGCCCGCCTGGCAATGTTTGGATAAGTAGGTCGTTATCGCAGAGCTGAATTCCACCGCGCCCGCGCCGCCAGAAATGTTGAGTCTGCTGGTAACGGCCCTCTTGCGTCCGATGCCGCTGCCGAACTTGCGGCATGAGGTGCGATTGCGAGGGCGCGTCGGACAAGTTGAAGCCCCCCGCATTGCGAGAAAAACCAAGCGCATCGGGTCAACAGCGCCACTTCGGAGTGTGTACATCACTCCGCCTGCAGGGTGCTTCTCTGTTTGGCGTTCATGTCATAGTTGTGCGCGTTCAGGATGCGGAGCTCGCGCTCAGCGGTGACGTTGGAAACCGCGAGGACCTGGGTGCGCCCGTGCAAGGTCGAGCGCGTGGTATTCTGAGGCCCCATGATCGAGGTCAGACGTCAAACTGCTTGATCTTGGCGAAGTAGCTCACGTTCAGCGCGGGCGAGCCCAGGTGCAACCCCTCCTGCGCCGCGCACGTCCTCCCACCCAAAAAGCGCAACCACATGCAGATCCAGTATTAGAGGCAGAATGGGGTGAGCGCGCCAGGGTCGTGTCCAGTTCAGCTCGGGTGCCATGGCGCTCTTGCGTGATAACTATTGGGAGAGGTCTGACGGCATTCTCGAGCTTGCAGAACTTCTGACGGCGGCGAAGATGTTTACGGCAAAGTAATCCACGAGCGTTCCACGAGACAATCTGAAGAGGCGCATCGTGGTTGGTGGTCTTCCAGGGGGGCCGGCTTTAAATCGAACGCGTGGGTGCATCAATCGAAAATAGGCGGCCTCGAACATCTGCTTGGCCAGGTCTCTGTTAATGCCCATGTTGCGGGCAGTGCTTCTGTCCATGCCCACTGCGATATGGAGTTTCGGGCTCACTTCCCCAACCAGAGGCGCGCTGGATATGGATAAATTTGCCCCCTCGAGGCTCGATGTGTATCCATGTCCAGTGCGTCTCGGCGCTGCGATGCTCCACTGGATATGGATACGAACCTTGCCCGCGCATGTTGGGGGCCGCAGATGGGTTCCAATAGAGCTTCGAGTGTCCCCGTAGGCCCTGCGGCAGAGTCTCCACGATCGGCGTCGCCCCTTGCTGAACCACGCCCGACTGCCGCAGCGGAACGAAGTCCATGCCAGGGAAGAGCTCCCCGATGATGCCAGCGACGCGCTTGGCCTGGAGCCCATTGCGAAACTGCTTCGGCGACGTGCCGCTCGACGCCAAGTGCGGGGCGTCCGCGCCGTGGGCGTCGGGCGCCGAGACCCACCAGCCAGTTTGAGTGCACGGGCCAGCGCCAGCACCCGTGGGCGTGCGACTTGAGGACATCCGAGAACGAGTCGGTGAAACCACTTGCAGGGGCATCTGCGATGCACTGCGCTTTGGAGCGTCGCACTTCTGCGGGAAGTATGTTAATAGGCGCTCCGGTCTGGAAGAGCACGGGGCTCGGCTCTCGATCAATCTACCTCGTTAGCGATGTCGGTTGTGGGTGTTTGGGTTTCTGCGAGTGATGCGGCTGCTTCCAATCTTCGAACGGCTTGTCGCAGGTCTTGCTGTTATGCAACCTGTCCTGCTGCTTGTTGTTGGTCCTGTCGTCTGCGGGTGCCGCCGAGGTCACGCTCTGATTGTTCAAGTCTGGCTTGCTGCGGGGCATAGTTCTGTTCGGTTGCGCTGAGAGGATCATTCTGGACGTTTGCCCATGTAGTGTCGAAGAGATTGCTGAAATGCTGCGTGGCCATTGAGAGCTGCGGGTGGACGAATCCGTCGATAGCATGCGAGGCAGCCGGGGAGGGGGATGTGGAGGCTGCCCAGGTGGTCCAGGGTCGTCTCGCTGAGGCCGTGGGGGTCGCGGCGCTGCGCCGCCGTGGTCTGCGGGTGTAGCAGCTGGCTGCGGATGAGCTGCAACTGGCGCAGCGCCTGGTCGAAGTTCTTGTGGCGGAAACGTGGGGGCCATGTCAAGCTGTCGTGCCAATCCAGCGTTTGCTGCTGCATCGAGATGGGGGCCCAATCCACGCTCTGGCGGTGGGTTGGAGCGGCAAGGCGCGCTATCTCGGCCCCCGCCTGCCAGCCCCCCCCACCCCCCATCGGCCAGCGCGGCGCCCGGCAGCAGCTGATCGAGTGGCGCCCGACTGCCAGGGGTCTCGGTGCTAAAAAGGGTCTCGTCAGTCTGAGTGGTCTCGAACGCGATCGCGAGTGTTTTCCCGTCGCTGCCGTCGCCAAGCCTGTCGAACATCGCTGCGTCGTGCTGCGCCCTCTGAAGCTCCGCCGCTTCGGGTACCACGAGAGCCAGTGGCCTTGGAGTCGTCCAGGCTTGAAGTAGACATTGTTCGGGCTGGACGTAGCACAGGCAACTGACGCTGATGGAACACTGAAATGCATTGAGGGGCGCCAATAGAGAAGAACACGCAGACCATACATATCGCGTGCGCTGCCAGCTTCGGACTCGGCCTTGCTATGCCAGGGGCGCAAGGCTCGGACCAGGTCTTGGATATGGAGGTGCCAGGGGCGCAAAGCTCAATCCTGGTCTTGGATATGGGGGTGCCTGGGGCGCGTGGCTCAGTCCAGGTCTTGGGTATGGAATCGCCAGTGGCGGGCCTGGACTTGGAACTTTTAAGCCAGGCAATGCAACCGATACCATTGTGGCCTTGAGCCAACATGTCTACGGATGATGATAATAATGATGCTCACGATGACGACCATGATGGTGAATAGGCTGATGCTGATGATGCTGGTGGTGCTGATAACGGTGTTGACACTGATATTGATGATGACGAAGCTGGAGATGCTGCTGATGATGATGGAGCTGATGGTGATGATGATAGTGGTAATGCTGATGGTGGTGATTTTGATACTGATGATGCTGATGAGTGAGCAATGTGATGATGATGGCGAGGAAGGGGATAATGATATTAGTGATGATGGCTGGTGGTGCTGATAGATGCTGACGGTCGACGATGGTGGTGATGGGGAGAGCCGAACAATGATGGTGAGGAGGGACAGGGATTTGGAAGATGGTGATTGGGGATGAGGATGGGCAGGTGGGGGGGAGGATGGAAAGCGGAGGTCGCTCTTCCTCTCCCTCTCTCTCGCTCCCTGTCTCTGTCTCTGTCTCCTTCTCGCTCTCTCCCCCCCCTCATTCTCTTCGTACCTCTCCCTCTCTCCCTCTGTCTGTGGCCAGGCCGCCGCCCTCTCCGATAGCGTCCTGCCCACTCCTCCTCCCATTCCCCCTCTCGCCAAAAGCTCCTTCCTCGAGGGCCGCGGAACAGACGCCTCATGACCTCCCTGGAACCTTCCGGAGCACGAGACGCGGGGAGACAGCCTGAGCCTGAGCCCCTCCTACCACCCCCTCCAGCCCCTCAAGACGCGGGGAGAAAGCCGGAGCCCCTCCCCCATGCACGGATCTGGGCGCCTCGCCTCCTCAGCGACACGGAGACCTGCGACACCGCCCCGCGGCCGAGCTCCCGGGCCACCTGCCGCGCGGGGTTTCGACCACCGCGACCGCTGGGAACCCAGGAAGACACGACCGCCCTGCGCCGCTCCCGCGCATGCGCCCCTCACCCGTTCGTTTTTTGTCGCCGTCTGAAACATGGAGCACGCCGTGGTGCCTAAACTCCATTAGTGCTTACAGGCGGACATGGGACTCACAGCGCACGGCGTCTGGGGCCGAATCCTGCGACTGCTGACGCGGGGGGCGCCTTGAGAAGGGTCCAGGGCATCGCCTTGACATTACTTCAGGTGGCCCACGAACTAGAGGGGGGTCATGTTTTTTCGTCTGCGGCCCTGTTTGAAACATCTTCCAGGTGGGCCTCATGATTGTCGCGCCGTAAGCCAACCTTCCAACTTGAAATCACCTCCTGGACCGCATCGATTCCCCACCCCTTCCCTTCCCTCTGCTCCCCTCCTTCACCCCCCATCAACATCTCTTCCCGTTCCTTCCCCGCCCCCCTCTCATCCACGCAGCTCCCCTCTCCTCCCCCCACCGAAAAACATGTTTTTTCCGCTCCCCTCTGCATCCCCTCCAATCCACTCGGCATTCCCTCGCCTCCTTCCTGCCGCCTTGCCCTGCCCCCTCTCCCTTCTGGTCCTGCCCCTTCCTCCTGCCCCCGACCCTCGTAGAAAACACGCATGCCAGCAGGGCGCGGCTGGCGCGGGCAGTGGTGCGCAGCCAAGCCCAGGCAGTGGTAACCCCTTTGATCCCAAGACGAGACAAGCCTACGATTCAGAAAAGAAGCCTCACAAGAGGGGTCAAGCGTTGGCAGCCGTTATGAGCGCTACGCCAGCCTTGCACGAGCGACACCACGCATGTTCTAAGGGGCTGCTCTTTGGGCCAACCTTATGAGGAGGACACGCAGGGCCACGCGAATGAGAGCCGCTTTCCCAACGATCAGCGCACCGGCATGGGTGATGACTGGTGTCACCCCAACCCCAAAGCAACCATGTACCTCATATGGCAGAAATTGCGACGTCGTCGACAGGTCAGGGTGCTATCTTCCGCTGTGAACGATACGACCCCCTCACCCTCATCATCTTCGTTCTTCATAGCATATTCCTCTTTTTGTTTCGTTTCCTGCCCTGGCCTGTTGTTTTCCCTGCCGTGGCCCTCGGCGTCCTCACCATCATCGTTTGTCGTGTCCTATCGCTCCCAGTTCTGCACGCTGCGAAGCAGCGTACACACCTTGTCTGCAAGGCAACGCCACCGTAGAACGCAGTGGAAGGGGGAGGAGGGGCAGGGAAACGCAGAGCGAAAGGGGCAATGAACGGGAGCAAGGTATGAGAGGGAGTCAGGTCATGCATGTGCACGCTGAACGGTCACATCGCATGGAAGTGTCCGCCGCTTGTGGGGGGGAAGCTCCTGGACACATGAAACAGGACCTCCTTCCTAGCCGTCGAATGTGGGCGGTCAAAAGCCTTGCGCGGATGGCCCAGGCCATGGGCTGCAACGCTAGCGTATGCTCCACATCTTTCAGAGTCGGTCAAGTCACGCAACACCTGCAAAACATGATTACTTGCACAACTTGGGTACAGGGAGCGGAGCAACAGGTCCGAGGAAAGCTTAGGGCCAGCACATGGCCCTGTGAAAACTCCTCAGGAGGCCTCTCAAAGGAAAACGCCGATCACACGACGACGACGATGACGTCGACGACGACGATAACGACGACGGCGACGACGAGGACAAGGACGGGGACGGGGACGGAGAGGAGGATGGGGACGCCGACGACGACGACGGGGACAAGGACAAAGAGGACGAGGACGGTAACGACGACGACGACGACGACGACGAGGACAATGACCACGACGACGACGACGACAAGGACGACGGACACCCTTAAGGTCTCCAGAGGCCTACGGAGGTCTCTGGAGACCTCTGGAGGCGTATGAAGGCCCTTCAAGACCCTCGGCGAAGACAGCGAGGACGAGAACGATGACGACGACAACGGGGAGGACGGGGATGTCGACGACGACAGGATCGAGACGCGGACGGGGACGATGATGAGGACGACGATGAGGACGAGGACGGGGACGAGGATAACGACCGCCTCTGAAGGTCTCCAGAGCTCTCCAAAGGCCGAAGGAGATCTCTGGAGATCTCTGGAGGCGCCTGGAGACCCTTCGAAGTCCTCGACGACAACGATAACGACGAGGACGACGACGACAAAGACGACGAAGACAATTGGGACAAACGACGACGATGACGACGAACACGACGACGGCACCCTCTGAAAGTCTCTGGACATCTCTGGAGGCTTACGGAAGTATCCGCAGACCTCTGGAGGCGTCTGGAGGCCCTTCGAAGCCCTCGGCGACGACGACGACGACGACGACGACGACGACGACGACGACGACGACGACGACGACTAGGAGCCAGGAGCCTCTCCCGAGACCCACCCTCCCCCAGATCCCACCACGGATCTGTTCCTGACGGCCCCGGGGCCCGAAACGGGCCACCAGAGGCCGAAGTCCAAGGAACACCAGCGACGAACATCCGACGTCCGAGCCCGCGCGCTCCTTCGTCCGACCTCTGGGCGGGGCCACCGGCGTGGCCGCGGGCCGCCGGAGGTCCGCCGCGTGCGCCGGCGCCGCCACCGGAGGGGTCGGCCTCGCAAGCAGCGTTGAGGAGGCGGTGCGCGCGCTCGCGCCGTCATGCCATCCTGTTCCTCCTCCTGCAGGGGTGCCCCCCCCCAACCACCCCAACATTTCCGCGATCATTATCCTCCCGCCTTCCTTTTTCTGCTCCGCCGCCGCTACTCGCATCCAACTGCTCCGCCTGCCTCTTCCTCCTCCTCCTCCTCCTCTTCCCTCACCCTTCCTTCCTCCTCCTCCTCCTCCTCCTCCTCCTTCTCCTCCTCCTCCTCCCACCTCCTCCCACCTCCCACCGCCTGCGCCCCGCCCCCATCCACCGCCCGCCCCTGGCTCTTGTATACAACTCGTCCCTCTAACACGACAAGACGTGTCGGTAGGACGTGCCGAGCTTTTGGCCAAGGGTTTCCCCTCAACTTGCGCTCCAGAAACGTAGCGTTGTGAAGCGTGTTGCTGGACTACTCCCTTGGCTTCTGTGTTTTCTCTGCTTCTTGCGCTTCTCACCCTTCCAGTCCTGTCCACCAAGGGGGCCCGACCGTTCAAAGAACAAACACCTGGGGCGATGCCACTCAGCGAACTAGCAACCAGCCGCTCCAGGTTGCCCCAGAATCCACATCCTGACTCGACCCTCCTCCTCCTCCTCCTCCTCCTCCTCCTCCTCCTCCTCCTCCTCCCCCTCATCCTTCTGCCTTCTCCCTCCTCATGCTGCTGCTCCTCTACTCCTCCTAAAAAATGTCTCCCGAATAATTAGTGCTCGTTCCTTCCTCCTCCTCCTTTGCGCCGCGCGCGGCACTCTTGTTTGCGCGCCGCGGCGGCGGGCACCCTGTGGTAAGAGCGCGGCCGCGCTCTGGGTGCCCGTCGCCCAGCGGCCACCTGCTGACCGCAGCCGCCTCCACCCCCCTCCTGCCCTCGCAGGGAGCGTCACCTTGGGCGCAGGGGGCGGGGCCTCCGCCGAGGGCGGGAGGAGTGGGGCAACGGCGGCATTGCGCGGCCGCGATCCCCTTTGCGCCCCTCCCTTCCTCTGCTCAGCGCAGGATTTATCCGCTTGAGCTCGTCGGTGTCGAAGACTCCAAGCTGCGGGGCGGGGCGGTCGCCCCAAAAGGCTGCAAGGAGGCCGGAGTGACCAGGAGCTCGCACTAACAAGCGAGGTCGAATATCCAGTGCTCGCCCCTTCCTCTGCCTCCTCCTCTGCGCCGCGCGCGGCGCTCTTGTTTGCGCGCCGCGGCGGCGGGCGCCCTGTGGTAAGAGCGGGGCCGCGCTCTGGGCGCCCGTCGCCCAGCGGACACCTGCTGGCCGCGGCCGCCCCCGCCCCCCTCCTGCCCTCGCAGGGAGCGCCACCTTTGGCGCAGGGGGCGGGGCCTCCGCCGAGGGCGGGGGAAGTGTGGCCACGGCGGCACTGCGCGGCCGCGATCCCCTGGGCGCCCCTCCGTGCTCCCCAGATTGACGATGTCAGGAGGCGTCGGGCTGGCCGAGGGCTCGCAGCAGGCGGCGCAACAGCGCCTTACCTTTAGCCACAAGTGCCTTCTCTCGGCTCGACAGGCGTCCTCGCTCCAGCATCGCCACGCCACTCTGGATGTAAATCCTCGCCGTCGGCCAGTGCCTCCAGCGGCCTCGAACACAGGTCATGCTCAAGCTGGCAATGACCTGGAAGTGATGCGTGGCGCCTCCCCGGCGCAGGCTATAGGGCCGATGCCGATCGGGATCGGCTCCGATCTGTCCCACCAAGCCGCGGATTCTTGCCCTGAAGCCTGCAAATCCTCGGGGTCAACGCTGGGCCCCGCCCAGCGCGCTACCCGGCGCTCGAGCCAAGAGAACCACCGCCTCGAGCTCGTCTATGACGACGTGCTCGGCAACTCCAGCGCGCCTGCCGCCCCTGTTGAAGCCGAGGTTGATGTGCACCAAACCGCTGTCAAAGTCCCACGTGAGCTGGCTCGCCTGCAGCGTGGCTCCGACTGGGCGAAGGAACCCGTTAAAGCTCACGAGGGTGGCGGCCGCCATGGCGGTGTCTCCCTCGGACAGGGCAAACCCTGCCATGGCCAAGGCCTGCTCAGGCAGTAGCGGCCTGGCCCTCAAGGGGTCCTCATTCTTCGACCAAGTCGAGCAGAGCCGCCACGAATCGTTGAGCGTGCGCCGCAAGCACGGGACGAAGTGCTGTAAACTGGACAAGACGTCGCCTAGCATTGGTTTGGCCTCGCCGTTTGCCCAGCACTCCCCCAAAAACTCTCCCAGGACCTCGTTGGCGGCAGCGACGGACTGGGGCATCGGCTCGTTGCGTCTGTCGAGCCAAGTGAAAAAAGTCGGCGGCCCCAGCGTAGCGCTTCAGCGTGCGCGGCTGGAGTTGAAGTGATCGCAATGTGCCTGCTGCAGCTCGGTTGCGTTGTCTCTGCTGTCTCGTGCCTGTCGCCAGAATGGTCACCACCATCTGCCTGGCGCGTCGGCCGGATTGAGCTCCGACCTCACAAAGACGTAAAAAGGATGGCACGACGTAGACAGCAGGAACGCACTCATGCGCATGAGCAACCGTTGCAGCAGCGACGAGGTAGACCTGCCCTTGCAGGCCACGGCGATGCACACTTGCGAATCACAAAAAATGAATCAGTCGGCCTCCCAGGGGGGGGGTCGTGCGCAGGCGCCACCGAAAAGTAGTCAGCAGCGCCTGCACCTCAAGCACAATTATATGTCGACCCCCACCCTGGGGCAAGGAGACGCACACTTTCCACTGCCACACGTGCGCTCCTACCCCTCGAGGCGGCCAGCCAGCTGGGTCGCGGACGTGCCCGCTCGCTATGCGCACATCGCTGCCTTTGAAGATGGCAGAGCGGACCTGGCCCTCGCACACGGCGTCGCGCACCTCCTTGGCATTCGCGTCGGAGGGGGCCTTGCCCAGAAGCTGGCTGGCATACGTCCGCCTCGGCGCGGCGAGTCCCCCAGCGCCCAGCAATGGTCGGCGGCCGCGCCCGCGCACCTGCCGCCAGAAGGCCACGGCCCAGCAACGTCGCCACCGCGGGGGCCGAGAAGGTGTTGCCGTAGAGACCACACCGCACGTCCTCCACCCCGCGGTCTGAAAGACCCGCGGACTTGGGCGCGGCCCACAGGCGGTGCTTGGCTGGAAAGCCCAACCGCACGGCCCTCTCCGCGCTCGTCAGAGGGCGGAGGCACCCCGGGCGATCATGAACCACGTTGCCGAGCTTGTGATGGTACGGGGCGTAGCGATACTGATCCGCCTCCCAGCGAGCCCGCGCTGGCAGGTCCTGTGCTCGCGAGGCCCGCGGGGGAAATTGGTGGCTCCTCGCGAACGATTGGGCGCATGAAGGTCGCCCAAGCTCCGCGCCCTCCCCGCGGACGACTCGCCCCGCCTTCGGGCCACTCGGCCCAGGCAGGCCATGCTCCCTGGAGCGCCCCTCGGACCACCCCGGCCTCGATCTCCCAGCTCATCTCTGGGGTCTGCGGGCCCAGCGCGAAGTCGAGCCAGTGCAACCTCGGCCTCCTGACCGGACTGCAGCCGCTGGCGCAGAGCTCGATCGGCACTGACCCCAGCACCCTGGTGAAGTGGCGGCGGCCCTCCTCGCCCATGGAGCTGACGTTCTCCGCGAGGGACAGCGCCGCAAGCTCAGGGCACGCATCCCACGACAGTGCGGCGACACAGGGAGTGCACCTGACCAGCTGGGCACGTGCCTCGGCGCCTTGGCAGGGCGACCCTCCGTGGACGAAAAGCAGCCGCAAGTGGGGCCCTCGCGCCAGGAAGTCACGCAGCGACTCGGCAGTGATGGAGCGAACGCACCCCAGCTCGACGCAGTCGGGCCATCGCTGCCGCGCCGCGCGCTTGGCGGGCTCGAAGACCTCGGCGCAGGCGCGGAGGCAATGCCAGGCCGTTCCGGAGCCATGCGCCCACCGCCGATGCCCCCGAACAGCTCGATGATGCCTATATCGCCCCTGTTCCCCCCTCGGCCCTGCGCCAGGACTGACAAAACCGAGTCGCGAAACTCTGGGCGGAGGCACCTCGTCCAGCAAGCTCCCCAACCCCGCTCCGACGCGTCGCTCGCGGTGATCATGCTGCCCACGGGCGCGCGGAGGTCAAACTCGCGCAGCGGCAGCAGGCTGAGCGCCAGGGCCAGCTCGGCGCAAACGTCCGTCGGCAGCAGGCCCCTCCTGCCCCTGCCCCAGCGGAGGATGATGCGCCACAGTCTGCGAAAGACCGTGCCACACTTGCGCCTGAAGCAACTCAGGTGACACGTTGCCCGGCGACCACCTGGACCCCCTTCCCACTGACAGCCTCCGTTAGCAGATGGGCCGCCAGCTGGGCACAGAGGGCGGGCTGCCCTGGAAGGGGGGGCGCGCGCGCGCCCGTCTCTGCCGTCGACCAAGGCCCCCAGCCGCTGGCAGGAATGCACGCGCGTCCCACTCTTCTCGCTAAGCGGCACGTCTCGCTGGGCGCAGCGGTCGCGCGCTTGCGGCGAAGCCGCCCTCCGGCTCCGAAAGTCGCCGCCAGAGCTCGGCGTAGTCCGCGTCGTCGCAGTAGACCTGCCAGAGCCCCCATCAAGGCCGAGCCCTCCCGCAACGCGGGGAAAGACCTGTCCGTGCGCACCTCGCCGCCCCTCGGCAGCGGCGAGGGTCCCAGCTCGGCCTCGGACAGCATGCGCCTGTGCACATACTGCACCAAACCCATTGCGCTCTTGTACCCCATCGGCATGGTGACAGCGCCCAGGTAAACCTGGCCCCCGAAAGGCGACCCCAAGCCCAGGCTCGCCGCGTCGAAGACCGAGTCGAACGCAAACGGCGGCGCGCAAGTATCGGGCAGCCCGAAGAGGTAGAAGGCCCCATTGAGGTCGTCGAACGACCACGCGAGCTCCTCGTCGGGCCCCAGCACGATGGATCTCCACTGCGCGAAGTATGGCAGGGTGCCAGTATCTCCCCAAGAGTCGAGGGAGACCTCGTTCGTCGCGGTGGGGTTTCTGATGAGCCTCAGCACCTCCCTCCCTTCGGGGTCCTCGGGGGCCACCTGGCTCTTGGGCTTGCCCT